TAAAGAACAGCACCAGCAGCTGCTCCAACAACGACCGGGGCGACAATCCAAACCTCGGCAGCAGACTGACAAGTCAGTCTTCAGTATGCAGCAGGTTGCGAACATGCAGTTGGACTTCGACCCCGACTTCGGCTTCGACCTGGGCTGCGTTGACGCGCCCCCAAATGAGGAAAGTAACGCGAGGGCGGGGAAGTGCAAGTGGTGGAATAACTTGCGATGGCAATCCAGGGGGCCATGGGTCAGTTCTATACCAACGTCATGGGCAAGAAGAACGAGCTGCGCGCCATGGCGAAACGACTCGCCCCCAAACGTCCGCGCACAGCTGCTGGCGAACCACTTGGACCGACCAGCGCAGGGACCCCATAGATAACCTGGACCACCAGAGCTGCCATCTACGCCAGGAGCTGCGAGTTCAGCAAGGGCCTCGCAGCCCGCCCCCACGGCGTCGCCTCAGTCGCAATTCGCGGAGCAAGCAGCGAAAGTGGCAGAGGAGGTGCGCGGCAATATCCGCGCCGCCGATGCCACCGGCCAACCCGCAAGCGGGCGACAAGGCGAGGAAGAGTACCAGGACGATGTGCGTGCGTAGTCTCGGCAAATTGGCACGCCGCGCGCAGTCTTGGGTCATGCAGCGGCCGCGTGATGCTCATATATCTCCCGAGATGCACGTAATATCAGAAGATGCTAGCGACATGTTGGATCTGGAGTGCTGGAGGCTACAGAGCAGTCCATGCCCCAGTTAAACGCAAGGGAGGCGCTCTCCGCGCGGGTGTGCTGGCCGCGGGTACGACGCGGAGATTTCAACCGGTATCATTTAGACACTTGGCGGAACATCCCGAGCAACTTCAAGGGCTGCGCAGAGATGATTTAACGGACGCGCCCCTCGTAGACTTCGACGACGTTGCCGCCGTGCAGATGCGCTCGAAAGGACGCGCCCTCACGATTATCGGCGCAATCTCGACGACGCCATCGGTATCGAGGCGAGGAGCCTATGGAAGCCGTTGCAGATTGGATCACTTTTCTCATCCCTCCAAGGACCGTGGTTGGTTATAGGGACCGGAATGTGACACCAACGCAACTTCGTGATTCAGGACGGCTAGAGCGCGCCAAAGGCATTGTGCGACTACAGCCACGCGCGACCCGCACTTGCACGGCAGGAAATAGCAGTATTATGGATTTTTCTTTTGTGTTCAACAACGACCGAGAACCTCATCGAGGATTTCGAGCTGGACACATATGTGATCTTTATTGCAGGCAGGTCGCATTTTGGATTCCAGCTCCAGATCGACTGCCCGGCAAAGATTTCGGCGGCGCCCACCCCGGATCTCCCGCGAGGCTTCTAGCAGCCCAGCGCGCCCAAGAAAGACCCCGACCCAGGAAGCAGCATATCCAGGAAGAAAGCAGCTTATCCAGCCAAGTTACTAGTTGCGGTGCAACTGCCGCATCACGGACCACGGTTGGTTCCCATTGCATTGGAACCTCCATCGCTACAGTATCTGCGCTGGGGTGATTTACCCCGTGGAGAAGACGAGGGCGACTGGCCTCCAGAGCCTGAAGACCCACATCTCCAAGACGGCAGCCAAGCTTCTGAGGCACCATCGGCGACGACCAAGACCCTGGAGCAAAGTCAGTGGCACGCAGTGGACAGGGACCAGCTATGGGAGAACACCCAAGACGAGGTGGCTATCCAAGAGCCACCTATATACGTCACTCAATATACAGCCTACAAGCTCACGGCGAAGGCATCCAATCATATTGCACAATTATTTGGGCGTTGGGTTACTCGAGTGGAACGCTTCTACCTGCAACTACATCAAGTACCTCAGCATCTACAGAAGTAGTTCACTGGCAGAGCACAGGCACGTCGACTTCAGCAACGACGACGACCTACACCGCCAGCGTTCGGCACGACGGGGAACCCAGCGGCGAAGTGGTGGACCACTATTGCGGCCAACGTCTTCAACTTGCAAAAGTATGTCAACAAGGGGGGGTCGGAAATATTCAAATTGCTCACGGACAAGATTCAACATCCCTCGGCACGATGCCAGGCGATTCGGTGCTTATGATGCCGCCGCGTGCGCGGAAAAGTTGGGAGCGGGTTTTGCGACCGCCACCAGAACTTCAGACGTCACCATCAGTGAGATCGCAGCACAGGCTCAACGGAACGCAGACAACTCTAACCGACGTGTCTTACAAGCAAATATGAAGGCTTATCGCGAATGGGTTATCTCGGCGGAAGCTAGCAACATTGGCAGAATATTCCGCAAAGTCAAGGAACTCCCAGTTGCCATCAACGAGATCATACCTCGCGAAGCCGACCAACGACATGATCACGCTCATGACCGCAAGGGCAAAAGTTCGGCATGGCAAGTGGACCGGCCCCCGGGCTTCTTTCCACAGGCTCGAGTCAGTCTTCCAACAGGCATGCCAACTTGCACATAATCAGTCACTTTCCCCGCTCACGCTCGACACGACGAATGGCACCCTCAGAACCCTCACCCCCAAGAAGGCCATGGGTGTGGGGCGACTGGTGACAAAGGAGAGCATGCGGTTGCCGCGAGCGGCCAAGGCAAACCAACTCGACCTCTACAACACTGTCGAGCCTCAATTTGCTTGGCCATGACAGCTCATGCCAGCATCATCGTTCTGCAGCGCGAGTCCTTGGAGGTAGACCGTTCCATGGGGTTGGTTTCCATGGCTTATCAGATGTTGGGGCACCATGAGGTCTGGTGAACGGGCAGCCTGGGCACCGCAGGGAGCAGGTACCTGGGACACAGCCATGAAAGGGAGGTCAGCGCCAAGCGTGGCGATGGGCTGAATCTGCAAGGGTGAAGCTGTGATCTTGCAGGGCTCAAAGTACCTACGCCACGCGGGTGCGCACTGGGACGTCCAAGCTTTCTACGATTCTCTCGACTGGGTGCATAGTATCAAGACGGCGATGGACTTGGGCTTCCCCATGCGCATCCTCATCTAGGAGATTATTGGCCACGCGTCCCCAATAACCATCAGAAAAGCAGGCTGCTTTTCCAATTTCCTACATGCAGTGGCAGGAGCGAATGCAGTAGTGGATCTTGGAAGGTGTGCCCTGCATTTCATCTGCGAGGCTGCAGACATCCATGACCCTGCGCATCATCTTCCCGGGTGGATGATTTGGCGCAATACGCTGGGGGGGCCATTGCTATTACGCTGCAGGTCATGTCAGAGGCGTGCGTTACTCTTGCTCTAGGATGTGCAGCAGCAGGCCTTGGCATGCCACGCAAATCAACCATCGCCTCCCCGTCCTCTGAGCTGGCTCAGGCATTGCGAGACAGACTCAACAAGCACCACATGCCTGTCCGCACAGAGTTTTGCCACCGCAGGCCTAGGCATCGACCGGGGGCGCGTCGCCTGGGGGCGGCCCAAGCAGAAGTCCAGAAGCATTAAGATCGCTAAGAGAACCTTCAAACATTTGAGGCTTGCTAGACTTTCAGCGAACTACAAAGAGATCGCAGGCAATTCATTCACGCTGGGGGGCATTTCAATGGGTAGCTATGGCGACAAGGCCTGCGGCATTCCACCTCATATCAGAGATCGCTGGAAAACCTCCACGGGCAAGCTCCCGCACTCTAGCGTTGAACCACGCCTGGCTACAGCTCTTGCCCTTCGCTGTCGGGACAAGTGCCTCTGGATCATCAGCACGTTCAGCATCTCCCCGTCTTGGATCGACCTTTTGGCGGGTACTACCTCACCAGAACATGCGATTCGCACTGCTTGGGGCCAGGCGTTTCCAGGCGTTTCTGGGGATGAATGTACCACCCAAACAAAGATGGAGGAAGGTCATTGGACTTGGGGCGGCGATGGTGGCCAGCCTATTTGATTTGGGCTGGAAGCTATTTGGGGCGCACTGAATGGATCGCCCCAGGCGGGGGCCATTTTCGAGGCCAAATCCAGGACTTCAGAGGGCAATTGTTGACCTACATGATCTTCGAACTGCCTTGGCTAAACCTGCACCCGCGAAGACGTGGGCGATATGTTTGTGAACTCGTGGCAGGGCAAGGATCTGGGGGTGGTCCCAGATCTGAGCGACTCCAGGAGGCATCTCGTTCGACTGCGGCAGCAAGGCAAGCGCCGAACAGCTGGAGCTATGGAAACAGTGCGCGCTCACAGGAGCTACTTGGACGCTGCAACGCAGTCACGTTTGCGGTTACTCCAGCGAAATCGGTCTTTGCAGGCGTTGCGGCAAGGCGGTTGAAACGGACGGGCACATTTATTGGGAGTGTGAATATACCAGCAATGTTTCAACGACTTCTGAAGCTCTACGCTTGAAAGGAGCTGACTAATGACACTGCCTCCCCTCCCCCTGGCACCGAGGGCACGTGCCCAGTGACTGGTGCCCGATCCAACCACCACCAGACGAACCCCTGCGAGTCCACCAGGGAGTTCAAGATATATATAATATGTATATATACATATTACTATTCCCCCAACCCAGCACATCATTGCAGGTGGTGGTGCTAGTGGAGGTACCTACTCGTCCGACAAACGACTGCGGCGTGTTGCGTGGGCCACGGTTTCCACAGCTGACACGTTGGACGAAGCTGGGATGGCGCTACTCCATGGCAGGCCAGTCGCGCAGCGGTTGGATGGCGGTGGCTTCACAGGCGACAAACAAACTATCAATTGAGGTGAACTTATGCCCTTCCTCGCGCCTCCCACCATCGCCACTGATTGCAAGCAGTTCACATATGTTGCAGATTCTGCTTATGTCATTCGCGGTTTCGCCAAGTACCTCGCTAGAGCTAAACATTCTTCTGATCAGGACCTGTGGTGTCAAGCCAAGAACTCGCGTGAACGTTTTTCCTTTCGCAATGTCGCCCTATCCATGATCAGGTCTCACGTGGCCCCCCCAGGAGGCATTGTCGAGAGGCGTCAGCATGATCTTCTTTTCGGCCAATGATGATGCGGACAAAGCAGCCGAACACCCAGCTGATCAAGTTGCGGTTCGAGATGCAGATGCCAGTGCAATGGGGCTGACTGATGCGTCGGGCGGAACTATCAGATCGCACCTCACCAAAGTGTTCTTCGACATGGTCAAAGACAAGGAACCCAAAGAAAAGAAGCTGGCACCCCAGAAACATCGATTCATTAAGCTTCACGTCGCAGATCATAACTCTCTGGTTTGGAGAAGTGGTAGATTGCGATGCTTAGACTGTGGGAAGAGTGCTCGTCGACCAGCTGCAATGAGATTTCTCAATGTACCATGCAGACTTGGACCTACCAGTGGCAGATATACGGAGCCTTTCAGATCGACTACGACCGCAAGCACATTTGGCAAGGTTCACCCCATTCACAGTTAGATTTCTGTCGAATACCTCGATCTTGACATTTGCTCAGCGCATGAGAGCTACGTTGCCAAGCGCATGGCGAATTTTGAAAAGCCACGCAGAACGAAAGGAGGCCGACCTACGACAAGAGGGGTGCATAATCTCCAGCGAGTGCATGTGGGCATCCATCCGACCATGCCTCTCAGTGACCAAGTTACGAGAACAAGGCGCAGGACTCCGGCGCCCAGTTTCACGGACCCCGCTGCGACGCCAAAGAGTACGATGCGGAGTTCGACCAGCAGACGCAGCACCCAGGGCTGCGACTCAGGGCCAGCACGCGGGCATTACTGCAGCGGCGTCCTCCGCTTCACGGTGCACTCCGAATTTATCATTGGACGCTACGCGTCTCGTCTGCGATTCGTCAGGAGACTATGATTGAATGTGTGTGCGTGTGGCACAGTCCAAAGCGACACGCGGTGATAGCTCACCTCACTAGCGATCAGTGTTGGGCGAGGAGGCTCGCACGAGAAGAAGTATTACACATGACTTCAAACAACACTTCATCTGCACCCCCAGGGTGGTCAAACAAAAATAGCCCATCTAGGTGGCCTAGACGGACTAGATGGTCTAGATAGATGGCCGGTCTCGCCACCGAGGCCATCTAAGCCATTTGGATAGTCTAGATGTTCTGGATGGATTTACTGGACTAGATGGCCTAGTTGGCCGATTTCACATTCTAGGCCATCCAGGTGGAGCTATATGGCCTAGCTGGCCTAGTTTGCCGATCTCGCCATCTAGGCGATTAGGCGGACGTGCGCGGCCTAGATGGTCTAGATGGTCTAGATGGCCTTGATGGCATGATCGACCATCTAGGGCCGTATAGGTGGACCCAAATGGTTGAAATTGCCCAGATAGCTTGGATGGCCGATCTTGCCTTCCAGGACATTTAGATGGACTTAGATGGCCTAGATGACCTACATGGCCTAGGTAGCGAGATTGGCAATCTAGGGCCGTTTCGGTGGGCCTACATTGTCTAGATGGCCGATCCCGCCATCTAGGGCCACGCCATTTATGTGGGCATAGATGGCCTAGGTGGCCAATCTCGCCATCTTGGCGATCCAGGTGGACTTTGATGGCCTAGGTTGCCTAAATGGCGAGATTGGCCATCTCGGGCCATGCAGGTGGACCTTCATGGCTTAGATTGCCAAGGTGGCTTGGGTGGCGAAATTGGAAGTCTAGGGCCACCTCGGTGCCTGGATGGCGCGGTTGGCCGTCCAGAGCCACGTGGGTGGACCTAGATGGATTAGGTGGCCTAGTCGGCGAGATTGACCATCTAGGACCATTTAGGTGGACCGAGATTGCCTAGATGGCGAGATGGGCCGTCTAGGCCACTTAGTGCTTAGGTGGCCTATATGGCGAGATTAGCCATTTGGGCCACAGTGAGCCTATGCGGCCTAGAGATTTGGCAGTGAGGCTTCTTTCCTCCTTCTGCCTTCCCCTTCCGGCCCCCTCGTGTAAATTGACTCTCCCCCTCCTCATCGTGCTCGTCCTTGCCGCCCTCTTCCTCCCCAGCGCCCCCCAGTGGTCCCCGGCGCCCCCCAGTGGGGCCTCCCCAGCCGCGCCCAGTGCCCCCTCCGCCCCGACGATTTTATTTTTCGCGACGCACACCCTCCCTCCCCCCCCCCCCCCAGTGGGACCTCCCCAGCGCCCCCCAGTGGTCCCCAGCGCCCCCCAGTGGGGCCTCCCCAGCCGCGCCCAGTGCCCCCTCCGCCCCGACGATTTTATTTTTCGCGACGCCCCCCCCCCCCCCTCCCAGTGGGACCTCCCCAGCGCCCCCCAGTGGTCCCCAGCGCCCCCCAGTGGGGCCTCCCCAGCCGCGCCAGTGCCCCCTCCGCCCCGACGATTTTATTTTTCGCGACGCTCCCCCCTCCCCCCCCCTCCTTCCTGCCCCCCCAGTGGGACCTCCCCAGCGCCCCCCAGTTGTCCCCAGCGCCCCCCAGTGGGCCTCCCCAGCCGCGCCCAGTGCCCCCTCCGCACCGACGATTTTTTTGTCGCGACGCACCCCCCCCCAGTGGGACCTCCCCAGCGCCCCCCAGTGGTCCCCAGCGCCCCCAAGTGGCGCCTCCCCAACCGCGCCCAGTGCCCCCTCCGCCCCGACGATTTTATTCTCTTGCACAGGGTGTCTAGAGCTCCGACCACTTTATTTCGGCGTCGTCGTCGCTCCCCCCAGCTGCCTTGTGCCCTTCATGTGTCGCTATATGTGTCGCTGTGTGCCTTGTGCCCTTCATGTGCCGCTATATGTGTCGCTGTGTGTCGCTATGCGTCTCCATGTGTGCGTCGCTATGTGTCGCTGTGTGTCGCTATGCGTCGATATGTGTGTGTGTGTCGACATGTGTCTCTATATGTCGATATGTGTCGACATGTGTCGCTATGTGTCGCTCCTCAGCACCCCAGCGCACCGCCCCCTCCGCCCCGACGATTTTATTTCGGCGTCGTCGTCGCCCCCCCCCCATCTCCCTCTCCTATCTCGGCGTTGTGCCGACATGTGTCGCTATGTGTCGCTCCCCAGCACCCCAGCGCACCGCCCCCTCCGCCCCGACGACTTTATTTCGGCGTCGTCGTCGCCCTCCCCCCCCCCCTCTCCCTCTCCTCAGCAGCCTAGCGCGCTGCCCCCGCTGCCCCGACCACTTTATTTCGGCGTCGTCGTCGCCCCCCCCTGTCCTTTTCCCCAGCAGCCCAGCGCGCCGCCTTCTCCGCCCCGACCACTTTATTTCGGCGTCGTCGTCGCCCCCCCTCCCCCCATCCCCCTCTCCCCAGCAGCCCAGCGCGCCGCCCCCTTCGCCCCGACCATTTTATTCTCTTGCACAGCTGTGCTCCAGAGCTCGGACCTCTTTATTTTCGTTCGTTCGTCGTCGTCCCCGGCCCCTGGTCCGGTCCCGACCCTGGACCCAACCTCCCCATCCCGTCCTGGCCTCAGCCCCCCTCGCCCCGCTGGCCTTGGCCCTGGACCCAGCCTCCCCCCCACCCGGCCCTGACCCCAGTCCCCCTCGCCCTAGACCCTTTATTTTCGCTCGTCGTCGTCCCTGGTCCGGTCCTGGCCCTGGACCCAACCTTCCCCCTGGTCCTGGCCCCAGCTCCCCTCGCCCCGCTGGCCCAGGGCCTGAACTCAGCCTCCCCCCCGCCGGCCCTGTCCCCAGTCCCCCTCGCCCTGGACCCTTTATTTTCGTTTGTCGTTGTCCCTCTGGTCCCGGCCCTGGGCCCAACCTCCCCACCTGGCCCTGGCCCCAGCCCCCGTCGCCCCGCTGACCCTGGCCCTGGACCCAGCCTCCCCCCCGGCCCTGGCCCCAGCCCACCTCGCCCTGGCAACCCTTTATTTTCGCTCGTCGTCGTCCCTGGCAGCTGGTCCGGTCCTGGCCCTGGACCCAACTCCCCCCCTTGCTGGACCCTTTGTTTTCGTTCGTCGTCCCTGGTCCGACTCTGGCCCTGGACCCAACCTCCCCACCTGGTCCTGGCCCCGTGGAGCCCCCCTCGCCCCGCTGGGTCCCTGGTCCGGTCCTGACCCTGGACCCAACCTCCCCCCCTGGTCCTGGCCCCAGCTCCCCTTGCCCCGCTGGCCCAGGGCCTGGACCCAGCCTCCCCCCCGCCGGCCCTGTCCCCAGTTCCCCTCGCCCTGGACCCTTTATTTTCGTTTGTCGTCGTCCCTCTGGTCCTGGCCCTGGACCCTGCCTCCTCCCCTGGCCCTGGCCCCCCGCCCCCCTTGCCCCGCTGGCCCTGGCCCTGGACCCAGCCTCCCCCCCCGGCCCTGGCCCCAGTCCCCCTCGCCCTGGACCCTTTGTTATCTTGCGCAGCTGTGTTCTAGAGCTCGGACCTCTTTATTTTCGCTCGTCGTCGTCGTTCGTTCGTCGTTCGTCCTCCCCCCGGCGGCCACAAAAATAAACTCCAGGAGGAAGGAGGCGAAAGCCTCCTCTCTCTCGCGGCTCCATAGTGCAAGAGCCAGGGCACGCGTGCCACTTGTTTTATTCCTGCGCCTTCTCCTCCCCATCCTCATGTCCTTCCTTTATGTTTCTCCTTTCCCTCGCCCTTCCTTCTCCTCCTCTTACTCCTCGGTTTCCTTTTGTGCAATCCTTGCTTCCTCACTGCTTTTCCCTTTGACCTCTTCCCCTCCATCCTTCTTTCCTCTCCTCCGCGTCCATACCCCTTCCTGCCTCCTCCATGTTTTCGTCTGCCTTCTTCCTTCTGCCCTCCTGCCACCTCCTACCTTTCGTACTGCGTATCCCTGTTCCTTCTCCCGTCCTCATTTTCCTCCTCATACTATTCCGGGCTGCTCACACTCTTTCTTGCCTCGGTCTTTATTCTGCCTCCAGCGCCTGGTTCCCTGCAGGAGGCCTCGGTCGAAATGGGGCCCTTACACGGATGGAGGGCGGCACGTTTTCAATATGGATTTTGCTCGAGTCTTCTTGAAAGTTGACGGCCATAGCAAGGAGCATGTCTTGAAATTTCACGGATTAAGGACAATTCGTTTCCAAAATAAAGTTGTCTTCCCAGATCCCTTTGTTTTGTTATCAGCAGAAGTCAATCAGCGTGCAATAGTGAGACGGATGTAGGGCGGTTCGTTTTCAAAAGGACGTTTGATTGGAGCCACCCTTTGATGTTTATGAGCCTACACAATGTAGATTCTTATAGGTCGAAGGACGCCATGGGGTACTCATCAATCCAGGCGGCGTTGACCTACGTTTGTAGGATCGTGTGAGAAGGGCACGTGGGGAGGGAGGGGCACTGTACATTAGTTGATGCATCAGGGCCCTACGTGGTCCTGAATTAATCCTCGTTCCCATCCCTTCCGCTATTTTTTCAGCTCCATGATCTCCGCTCCTCCCTGTCTTTCCCCCCAGCACGCACTCTCTTACACACACGCTTCATGTTCCCACTCACCGCTACTCCCTTTCTCTTCGCCTAGTTCTTTCTCGAACTCATCAAATTCGTGCTCCCTCCTTCCTTGTCCCACTAATGGTTTTCTTCTCCCCTCCTACTACCTTCTTCCACCTCCCTTCTCCTGCCCCCTCATGTCTCTCCCTCTTTCTCGTTCTCCGTTCGCCTTCTCGGCCCTCCCCAGATATCTAGACATTTTAGATGGCCTAGATGTTTAGATGGATCGTCCTGGCGGAATGGCCCAGGATCGGGTAATATACGGCCGGGCCCCCCCCCCCTCCAGGCCGTGCGGCGCTGGGTCGACGAGTTCGTTGTGGGCCACAATTTCTGCCCCTGGGCGGGCCCCGCGCTCGCGGTCGGGGGCGTGCGCGTGGTGGCCAGCGACGCGAGGTCTGCGGAGGGGGTGCTGGTGGACCTGCGCGCGGAAGCCGAGGCGCTGCCCCCGGGCGGCAGCGCCCCATGCGAGGGGCAGGCGGTGACGACGCTTCTGGCCTGCCCGCACGTGGCGGAGTGGGGCCCTCAGGGGAGGAAAGTTCGAGGCGGGGATTTACGCATAACCACCGCCTGGAGGATCGATGTTCGCTGACCTCCACAGGCGGTGGATAACCGCATACCCACGATGATAATGTACTCCCCCCACCTATACACATAAGAGTTGATTATCCACGGCCAATAAGAGTTTGGTCGGGGGCGCGGGGGCGCGGAGGCCGAACTTCATTATCACCAGAACAGTTCGCCATCGAGGTTATTTCCTTCGTATGTTGAGATAGCAACATGAAGCGAAGCGAACACGTTTTTTTGTTTTATTGTCCCAAACAAAACCAACATTTTTGGGAGGCAGTCTCAAACGAAACGATCAATGTTTCAAGGATGTCTCAAGTGGGACCAACAATTCTTCGAGGATGTCTCAAGCGAAACAAAAACAATGTCGATGATGTCTCAAGCGAAACAAACATATACTCGAGGATGTGTCAAGCGAAACAAGCATACACTGAAGGGCGTCTCAAGCGAAACTGTACGTTTCTAAAGGATGTCTCAAGCGACATAAGCCATTGCTCGAGGATGTCTCACGCGAAACGAGAGATTGGTCGAGGAAGTCTCAAGCGAAACGAGAGATTTGTTCAAGGATGTCTCAAGCGAAACGAGCAATTGCTCGAGGATGTCTCCAGCGAAATGAAAGATTTGTCGAGGATGTCTGATGCGAAACGAGAGGTTTGTTCGAGGATGTCTCAAGCGAAACGAGCACGTTTTCGAGGATGTATCCAGCGAGACTAGCAATTATTTTGTTCCCGCCCGCAACCGTTCTGGCTCGATCGCTTCAAGCTTTCCGAGCTTTCGAGTCTTTCGAGCTTTCGAGCTTCAGCTTCCCTGCCATGGCGTCGCCCAAAGCCTCGAGCCCCCTGCTCGCCGAGAACAACCAAGTCATCGAGCTTCTGAAGGGGAACAACAAGACTTTGGAGCAAGTGGCCAAGCTGCTCGAGAAGCAGAAGAAGGCAATCGAGATGCAGAACAAGACAATCGAGTACATCGCCGAGAAGGCTGGCTGCGCCGAGATGAGCCAGTGCCAATCGAGCGGCGAGGCTACCGACCCTTCGAGGATGACGAGCGCTTACTGCCGAGGCGGCTCCGCCCTGTGGCACAATAACATCAAGAACGCCGTCCTCGCGAGCACCATCAAGACGTGGAGCCTCGAGGGCATCAAGTACGAGGGCATCTTCCACCGCAGGGACAAGCGGCGAGGCGAGCTGCTCTGTGAGATCTTTTACAAGACGCACGTCGATCAGGGCGCCGAGATGTTCGACGCCTTCGACGACAAAGGCACGAGCGTCGAGAAGTTGTTCAGCATTTTGCCGAGCTCCCGAGTGGAGTTGCTCGACGAGGCCAAAACGCATGACGCACTTCTCGGCGATGGGGCCGATGGGGGTGCCCGAGGGGGCCGCGACCGAGGTTGTCAAGCAGGTCCTCGGCGAGATCCCCCAAGATCTGCAAGCGCCGCGCGAGGTGATGCTCCCAGTGGACAAGCAATTCAAGCCGCTCTTGCCGAGCGGCAGCGCCGAGCAGGGCAAGGAACAGTTCGTTTCGGTCGCGATCCTGCCAGAGAAGGCAAAGAACTATTTCGATGCGTTCAAGCAGTTTTGCCTCGAGGATCAAGCAAACGAGCGCACCTGCATCACGAATGCCGTCGTTGCGTGGCGCTGGCAAGTCTCCAATGCTTCTCAGAAGAATTACGAGCTCGAAGAGCACAAGTACACCGCCATGCGCCTTAGGCGTGACGAGGACCCCGAGGAAAACAATAAGCTCGAGCATCAGAAGATGTTCTTCGAGATGCACATCAAAAACAAGTTCCCGAGCTACACCAAGATCAACACCGAGTACAACGAGATGAAGGCCGAGAAGACGCGCAAGCAGGAGTTCGAGGAGCCCGAGGTGGAGGTTTGAGCCGAGCAGGCCCAGCGCGAGGCTTCGTCGAGGCCTCATCGAGGAGCGAGCGGCGATCAAGGCCCTTTCCCTCGAGCTTTCCGAAAGGTTTCCCGATGGGGCTTCGTCGGCCCCCTCTCGAGCGTAACATCGAGCGCAACTCCGTCGAGGCTCGATCCACGATCGATCTTCGGATCGAGGCTCCGAGAGCTTCGGGCAATCGTTGATCCGAGATCACAAGATCTCGG